GAGATGTAAGACTGTGGATGTGTGGGTGTGGGAGGGTGAGGACGACCCCTGGACCATCCTGCAATTTCCTGTTTGCCAAAGAACCCTCCATTCTGGAGAAGAGAGAGACAGAGGGTGCAGGGATCATCAGTCCTCTCCTGGCTCTCAATGGACATGGCATCAAATCCACTATGACACATAACCTGTCTGGCACATCTCTCGCCCCAGGGCCCAGCGTGTCTCTGCAGGAGGGCAGCGCAAGGTCAGCTTCTAGCCCCCACCCAAGGTCGGCTTCTGGCTTTTCCCAGAGCCTCACTCAGGGCAGAGACTCCCTAGGAGCCACCCTTCCGCATGCTGGGCTTCTAAGGATTCTTCATGGCTTCCTGATCACCCCTCCTCCCCTTCCCTCTCCCACAGCTGTCTTGGTCTCTCTGTATATCCTCAGGCTCCTCTGCTCACACAGAGCCTCAGGTGAGCCCAGGAGGGACTAGGAAGCTGGGGGAGGAGTGTGTCTCCCAGGGAACCCCCGGCTGGGACCCACCTGCCACCACCACCTGGACCTCACCAGCTCTGTCTCCTCCAGTGGCCCCCATGAGTGCTTACCTGATGCTGTGCCAGTGGCACGTGAGATGTGGGGACAAGTTCTACCACCCCCTGCAGCACTGTTGCTATGACGATGCCGTCGTGCCCTTGGGCAGGACCCAGGGGTGTGGAAACTGCACCTTCAGGGTCTGCTTCGAGCAGTGCTGTCTGTGGTCCCTCAGCTCCGGGGCATCCCTCGTGGTGAAGATGAAAGGCCAGAAGTGCCCCTCGGCCCTGACTTTGGATGACAGGCTTTGTCGAAGGTGAGTCCTGTCCCCTTCATGAGATTGTGGGTGCTGGGGAGCAGGGAGGCTGGGGTGCTGCATGCCTGTTCTGCCCTGGGAGGAGTCCTTGTTCTCCGTGTCTCCCTGTCTCTGTCCTCCTGACTCTATTCACTCCACCTCTTCTTTTTCCTCCATTTAAAAAATTAGCCAGGTGTGGTGGCACACACCTGTGGTCCCAGCTACTCAGGAGGCTCAGGTGGGAGAGATGCTTGAGTTTGGGAGGTCAAGGCTGTAATAAGCCATGATAGCACCACTGTGCTCCAGTGTGAGATATGGAGACCCTGTAGGTAGGTAGGTAGAAAGGAAGGAAGGAAGGAAAGAAGGATGGAAGGAAGGAAGGAAGGAAAGAAACAACAATAAAAAATAAAAAGAAACAAAAAAGATACTAGACTTGTATCCTGAAAACTAAAAGCCTCTGATCAAATAAATCAAAGACTGTCTAAAAGAATGGAAACGTATAGTTTGTACATGAACTAGAAACCTTAGCATGATAAACATGTCTGGAACATGTTTGGGAGGCTGATGCAGGAGATCAGCCTGGCCAACATGGTGAAACCCCGTCTCTGCTAAAAATACAAAATTAGCTGGGCATGGTCGTACATGCCGGTAATCCCAGGTATCAGGAGGCTGAGGCACAAGGATCGCTTGAACCCGAGAGGCAGTGGTTGCAGTGAGCTCAGATCTGCACTCCAGCCTGGGTGAGAGTGACACTCTGTCTCAAATAAATAAAAAGAAAATTTCAGGAGCAGGTGCCATAGAGAAATCTCAGAAAAATAGCCAAAAGTGACAGAATTCCTTAATAAAAATGGGTCATAAGCATTTGTATCAAAAGAAGTTGACAGTGTTTCTAGTTTGTAGAGCAGAGCAGCCGAATGAGGGTTTTGGGTTCCTTCTCTCCTCCTCCTGTCCTCTTCCTCCAAATGCTGTGCTTCACGAAGTGGGTTTCCCCAGGGTAGGGATGTGGTCTGACCACTGTTAAAATAAATATTATTGAAAAGCCGTATGAACCACGACAGCACTTTCAGCGATGTGACTGTGGTCTGAGTCACGTATGATTACAACTTCCGTTTCTCATATTACAGGTTAAATTCACTTATTTTTTTTTTCTCTGTTTTTGAGACAGAGTCTCTTTCTGTCACCCAGGCTGGAGTGTAATGGTGTGCTCTCAGCTCACAGTAAACTCCCCCTCCCAGGTTCAAGCAATTTTCCTGCCTCAGTCTCCCGAGTAGCTGGGATCATACCTGGCTAATTTTTGTATTTTGAATGGAGACATGGTTTCACCATGTTGGGCAGGCTGGTCTTGAACTCCTGACTTCAAATGATCCACCTGTCTTGGCCTCCCAAAGTGCTGGGATTACAGGTGTGAGCCACCGTGCCCAGCCTTGTTTTTATTTTTCTTGTTCTGTACAATGACTAGGGAGAATTAAATCATGTTGGGGCAAAAAATTACTGCCATCTTTTTTTTATTATTATTATTTCTTTTTTCGACAGCGTCTGGCTGTGTCACCCAAGCTGGTGAGTAGTAGCACGATCTCAGCTCAACTCCACTTCCTGGGCTCAAGTCATCCTCCTGCTTCAGACTCCTTAGTAGCTGGGACTGCAGGTGTGTGCCACTGTGCCCAGTTCATTTTTGTATCTTTTGGTAGAGGAGAGGTTTTGCCATGTTACCTAGACTGGTCTTGAACTCCTGAGCGCAAGCAATCCTCTTGCCTCGGCCTCCCCAAGGTGTTGGAATTACAGACGCCATCACATCCACCAGTGGTGCCTTCTTAATTAATGACCCTTGTTATCAATTAAGTTCCCCTTGGTTGTCCTGCTTTGCTTAGACCAGTTAAGAGGGAAGACATGACTATACACCCTTTGTTAAAAAAAAATGGGCCAGACACAGTGGCTCACGCCTGTAATCCCAGCACTTTGGGAGGCCGAGGCCGGCGGATCATGAGGTCAAGAGAGATCGAGACCATCCTGGCCAACATGGTGAAACCCCGTCTCTACTAAAAATACAAAAAAAAAAAAAAAAAAAAAAATTAGCTCGGCGTGGTGGCTCACGCCTGTAGTCCCAGCTACTCGGGAGGCTGAGGTAGGAGAATTGCTTGAACCTGGGAGGCGGAGGTTGCAGTGAGCCGAGGTCGTGCCACTGCACTCCAGTCTGGCGCCTGGTGACGGAATGAGGCTCTGTCTCAAAAAAAATAAATAAATAAAAGAAGGGCCGGGCACTGTGGCTCACGCCTGTAATCCCAGCACTTTGGGAGGCTGAGGTGGGTGGATCACCTGAGGTCAGGAGCTCAAGACCAGCCTGGCCATCATGGCGAAACCCCATCTTTTAAAAAAAAAATAATTAAAAAAAAATGTTAAATGTGCCCTTCTCAAAAAGAAACACTGCCTATAAGCAACTTGCTGTAACTATGTGCCAACCTTGTAGGAAAAATGTTGTAATCCTGATAAAAATGCCTCCTTGTCTATTGTCTTTATATACATGTATGTGTATACACACACACACACACACACACACACACTCACACACACACACGTACAGAGGAGTCTACGTAAATGTGTGTACTTCTTTAGAGACAGGGTCTCACTCTGTTGTCCAGACAGGATTGCTGTCCACTCCACTTCCACCCCCAGAGCCGGGCTGATGAAGATGTTTCTGCTCCTACCTGGGAGACACTTGAACTCACACCGTGGGCACCTCTGGAGCTGACTGGGGAGATTTTCCTGAATTCTCAGCTCCCGCTGTGTCTGGACACCATGTGGCTCCCCCATCAGAGGATGGCCTCACACTGCTGCTGGCCTGGGCCCTCACACTGATTCACATCTAGAAGGGGACCAGGTCGTAGAGTAACCCTCAGTCCATGTCTCAGCTCTAGACTCACAGGGTGAGATGTAAGACTGTGGATGTGTGGGTGTGGGAGGGTGAGGACGACCCCTGGACCATCCTGCAATTTCCTGTTTGCCAAAGAAGCCTCCATTCTGGAGAAGAGAGAGACAGAGGGTGCAGGGAGCATCAGTCCTCTCCTGGCTCTCAATGGACATGGCATCAAATCCACTATGACACATAACCTGTCTGGCACATCTCTCGCCCCAGGGCCCAGCGTGTCTCTGCAGGAAGGCAGGGCATCCCACGACATCACGAGCTCCTCTAGGAATATAGGAGCCAAGGAGCTGCTGAGATCTGCTGATCACCTGCTCACTCCACTGCAGCCACCCGGAGCCATGGCTCCCAAGGCCACATCCTGAGTGAGGACAGGACCTCATTTCCACCTGAACCCATCTCTCATCTCAGCCACCACAGGGGCTCACTCCTGACCCCAAACTACACCTCACCTCTTCTTCTGTTCCTATGCCCGGCCTTCTCCCCAGACATGGCTCCATCACAGCAATTCTCTATCCACAGCTCGTGGGTCAGCCCCATCCACAGCCCCCAGGTCAGCCCCACCCACAGCCCCCGGGTCAGCCCCACCCACAGCCCCCGGGTCAGCCCCATCCACAGCCCTGTTTCTGTCCCCAGACTACTGCCCAAAGTCTTGCCTAGCACTGGTTCCAGTTCCAGCCTGATCTTTTTCTAAATGTTGCTGCCGGTCACCCCCATAGCACAGCACAAGTCTCAGCGCAGCCTCTTCCCTGCCTGACCCCAGCTGAGCTTCCAGCTCTGAAATCCTCCAAAACCAGGAAACAACCACAATGCACTGAACCCTAAGGCCATTTCTTCCAAGAGTCCTGCCTGCACCCCTTGACCACAGAGAGACTGAGGGTGGAGAGGGCATTTGTCCTCTCCTGGCACTCAAAGGACCTGACATTAAATCCACCACAACACATATCCTGTATGGCACCCCTCTTGCCCCAGGGCCCAGTGTGTCTCTTCAGGAGGGCAGGGCAAGGTCGGCTCCTAGCCCTTCCCAGAGCCTCACTCAGGGCAGAGACTCCCTCGGAGCCACCCTTCCCCAGGCTGGGCTTCCAAGGATTGTCTGTGGCTTCCCGATCACCCCTCCTCCCTTTCCCTCTCCCACAGCTGTCTTGGCCTCTCTCTGCACCCTCAGGCTCCTCTGCTCACCCAGAGCCCCGGGTGAGCCCAGGAGGGATTGGGAAGCTGGGGGAGGAGTGTGGCTCCCAGGGGAACCCAGGCTGGGACCCACCTGCCACCCCCATCTGGACCTCACCAGCTCTGTCTCCTCCAGTGGTCCCCATGAGTCCTTACTTGATGCTGTGCCAGCCGCACCTGAGATGTGGGGACAAGTTCTACGACCCCCTGCAGCACTGTTGCTATGACAATGCCGTCGTGCCCTTGGGCAGGACCCAAAGGTATGGAAACTGCACCTTCAGGGTCTGCTTCGAGCAGTGCTGTCCCTGGTCCCTCATCTCCGAGGCATCCCTCATGGTGAAGATGAAAGGCCAGAAGTGCCCCTCAGCCCTGACTTCGGATGACAGGCTTTGTCGCAGGTGAGATGAGATGTTTTAATACTTCCTGTCCCAGAGGTTTATTTACTTTTTTTTAAAATTAGGTCTAGTTTTGTTTTTTTGTGTTTTTTTTTTTTTTGTGACAGAGTTTCGCTCTGTCACCCAGGCTGGAGTGCAGTGGCACTATCTTGGCTCACAGCAACCTCCGCCTCCTGGGTTCAAGCAATTGCCTCAGCCCCCTGCATGGGATTGTTTGTGCAGGGAAGCAGATGGGCTGCATGCCTGTTCTACCCTGGGTGGAGTCCCCGTTCTCCCTGCTCTATTCACTCCACCTTTCTTTTTTCCTCCACTAGTTTCTCTTCCTCCATCTGTTTTGATTTCTGTGGGAAGTAGTAGAGTTCCTTTAAAGTTTCCTTTCCTGTTAAAGAACAAATTATAAGTGTGCTAATAACTCTTTGTTAAACCCTATCCTATGCAGCTGTTAGACATGCCATGCTTACAGGCATGTAGTACATTCTATGTTCTTGTACTTTAACCAAGATATCTGTGCTGGACGTGCTCACAGGCATGTCCCAGCTCTCCATTGCTTTGACCTGTTTAGAAAAGTGTTAAGTTGTTAGCCAACTGGGTTTTAGTTTAGATTGTGAGGTCTGGCTCCAGCCAACAGAGATCAGACACAGCAGTAAGGATGACCCAAATGAGTAAGGGATAAATTTGTGTTTTCCTCTATTCATTGTACTCTCGTGGCACGATGGATAGCAAGGGTACCCTTCCTGCAGTCCAGGAAGTAAAAATTTGTTGCTGAAAGATTCTCTCAGTGCTGATTTTTCTTTGCGGCACCGAGCATCTATTTCCAATAATTTCCCTCTCAGAACCTCACTCTTTCAGCATTGCTGTCACGAGGCAGTGGCAACTGAGCATCGAGGGCAGGGTCTCCAGCCTTGTATGGCGGAGCTGCTCACTCCTGCCTGGCATAGTGGATCCTGAGAATCCCCAACTTGGTCCTCCACAATTGTCAGGGGAGGTGGGCTCCTGGCTGGTCCCTTGGTCCTTTGGTTCCTCTCCTTCTGACTCTCCTGTTCTTTCTGCCCATGTCCAGTCTCTTTCCCATCTCTGTCCTGCTCAGTGTCTCTCTTCAGTGTCAGCCCACACTGGAGTACAGTGGCTCCATCACGGCTCACTGCAGCCTCAAATTCCCAAACTCAAGAGACCCCCTCCCCCCAGCTCAGCCTCCCAAGTTGCTGGGACCACAGGCATGCACTACCAGGCAAACTTTTGTATTTTTTGTGGAGACGGGTTTTACCATCTTGTTCAGGCTGGTCTTGAACTCTTGGGCTCAAGAGGTCCTCCTCATCCTCCCAAAGTCCTGGGATTACAGATGTGAGCCACCTTGCCAGGCCTCTCTACCTACAGAAATGAAACCATGTGTTCCACATTCTGGGTGCTGGCTCCAGTCTTTGGAGTTGGTGTTTCCGGGCGTGCTATCCTCAAAATCTGTGCTGTAATAAACTCTCTTTAAATTAGATTCTGATGGTTTTGATTCTTTCAGGTTGATACCATCCAGTCTTTGGTCACCAAAGACCCTTTGCAGGGAGAGATCAGCCCCTGTAAATCTGATAATTGTACATACTTGGAGCAAATAAATTATACAGCCTCTTTGTCAGCCAGCAAAGAGAGGTTTCCAGACTGGAGAGCTTCCACCCCTCCTTTCCCCCCGCACACCTGCACGCCTGTATGGCACCACATTCCTGGCTATCCTCTGGGAGGGGCTCCTTGAGGCAAGATGAAACTAAGACCCCAAAGGTGCCAGGTGGAAGAGTCATTCTATTTATTCTCTATTTACAAAAGAGCAAGTGATGGGAGAGCCTTTGAGAGCAGGAAAGGTCCGGGTCCCTGGGTTTCACATTCCAGGAGTTGAGCTCTACCAGCCCCACCCAGGAGCCCTCGGACTGTCAGATTTGAGTCTCATCCAGGGGTGTCTGTGACTAAGGCCTGTCTCTCCTTCTCAGAGGGGCTGGGCCGGCAGAGGCGGGAGCGGGGCAGTTGGAGGCCCATGGACTGGAGTTCAGGAGACCTGGGTTCTGGTCCAGCCTGTATCCATGACCAGCAGTGGGTCCTTGGACCGTGTCTTGTTTGGATTAGAAAGTGGGATGAGAGAAATAAACAAATGTCTGTCTGAGGCCAGAATCTTGCACTTACTGGCCAGAAAAACAGTACTTTTTTTTTTTTTTTTTTTTTTTTGGCAGAGTTTCACTCTTGTTCCCCAGGCTGAAGTGCAATGGCAAGATCTCAGCTCACCGCAACTTCCACCTCCCACTGTCAAGCAATTCTCCTGTCTCTGCCTCCCAAGTAGCTGGGATTACAGGTGCCCACGACCATGCCTGGTTAATTTTTGTATTTTTACAAAATTACAGGGTAGAGACAGGGTTTCACCATGTTGGCCAGGCTGGTCTTGAACTCCTGACCTCAGGTGATACGCCTGCCTCAGCCTCCCAAATTACTGGGGTTACAGTCATGAACCACCATGCTGGGTCCAACAGAACCTTCTCGAACCATGGATAGAGTTCCAACCCCTGAGGATCAGTTCCACCAAGACAGAGCTGGGTTCCCGTGCTGAAGACAGATCTGTCCTCAGACGGTGGATGGGATAGGGTGGGGGACTCCCTGGGGCTGGTGGAGGGATTGGACAACGCTGTGTGCAAAGGCTTTTTTGATACCTGGAGAAGGGGCAGGGACAAGACCCCTGGACTGGGCCTGGCCACCCTCCCCTCTTCCCGGCCTCTGAGAGCCCCCCTGCCCTACCATGATCTCCCTCCACTTTCTCACCCCTGGGCCTGACTCAGCCACCCCAAGAGGCCAGGCTCAAGCCAAGGAGGGTCGGCTGGACTCCTCTCTCCTCGGGGACACAACCCCAACCCTGACCCAGGAAACCTGCTTTCCCTCACCCGTGTTTAGGCCTCTACCTGCCTCGAGCCAACCCAGGAAATACCCAGAATCATGGCTTGAGAGATGAACCCCATTATTAAAAGACATTCTGGGGCATCTAAGTCAGTAGCACTTAGGCAAGAAGGAAGCCAGGCCATGTCTGCACCCTTCTTCATTCCTTTTAAAATTTAATTCTTATTTCATTTTATTTTTTGAGACAAGATCTTGCTCTGTCACCCAGGCTGGAGTGCAATGGTGCGATCTTGGCTCAGTGAAACCTCCATCTCCCAGGCTGAAGCGACTCTTGGGCCTAAGCCTCCCGAGAGCTGGGATTATAGGCGCAGGACATGCCCTGCTAATTTTTGCTAGTTTTTGTAGACATGGGGTTTCACTATGTTGCCCAGGCTGGTTTCAAATTCCTGAGCTCAGGTGACCTGCCTGCTTCAGCCTCCCAAAGTGCCGGTATTACAGGCGCGAGCCACTGCACCTGGCTACTTCATTCTTGTTGGCTTTGAGTCACCAGAAAAAAAAATAAATTCTGTATCCTTATGTGGCTAATGAATGGCTCATTGAATCTAAAACTGCTTGTTGACTAGTTTCACCCCTTTATTCTAATATATAATGTCACCTTTCTCATACAGCAGTTTTCTATTATTAGCTTTATCTGTTCATGGACTCTATTCTGTTCAACTGATTGATGTGTAATTTTTCTAGGTAGTGTCATGTTCATTTATAATTGCATTGTTTTAAATTTTAGTAATAGGCAAAGAATCTTATCTCCCTATTACAGTCTATCATGTTTTACTTGACAATATTTGTGCAGTTAGCTTTAAGAGCTCCAAAATAATTTCCTAATACCCTCTCCTGTAAAATAGCAAAATATAGAAATGTGGATTGAGATGAAAATTTTTTGTAAATATTGTTTGGCTTTGGGAATAATGATCAAAATGTTTTAATACTTCCCGTCCCAGAGGTTTATTTACTTTTTAAAAATTAGGTCTAGTTTTAAGTATGAATTATCACTTTATGGTTTTCTTACCATAAATCTTACACATTTCTTGATACAATTAATTCCTGTAATTTGTAATACTCTACTTTTTTCCATTTCAATTTCCCTGGTTATTGCTAGTATAACATTATCTATTGATTTATGTATATTTAATTTATATTTATATCATAATATTAAACACTCCTATTCCATTTATCTACTTTTAAGGCAAATCTCTTGGGTTTTCTGAATATACAAAGATATTGTTTAAAAATAATAATATCTTTTCTTCCAGTGTTCCTAACTTACTTATTTATTTATTTATTTGAGTTTCACTCTTGTTGCCCAGGCTGGAGTGCAATGGCGCAATCTTGGCTCACTGCAACCTCCACCTCCCGAGTTCAAGCGATTCTCCTGTCTCAGCCTCCTGAGTAGCTGGGATTACAGGCATGCACCACCATGCCCAGCTAAGTTTCGTGTTTTTAGTAGAGACAGGGTTTCACCATGTTGACCTGGCTGGTCTTGAACTCTGACCTCAGGTGATCTGCCTGCCTCAGCCTCCCAAAGTGCTGGGCTTATAGGCATGAGCCTATAAGCCTAACTCATTTCTATATATTAATGTATATAGGCATGAGCCTATAACCCTAACTCATTTCTATATATTAATGTATCGCAATAGTTAGCAACAGCAAAATAATACTGAATAATAGAGGTTAAAGAAGACATCTCTGTCTTTGTTTGGTTGTTTTTTGTTTTAAGGAGTGGAGAGTTTAATAGGCCAGAAAGAAGGGAGAAGGTAGATGGAAGAAGCTCCTTTGGCAGAGACAGAGGGAGGGAGGCTCCAAAGCTGAGAGGGAACCCCAAGTGTGGTGGACAGCAGCCAGATATATATGCAGAGGCCGGAAGAGGTGTCCAATTTGCATAGGGCTCAGGGGTTTGGTTTGACTAGGCATGTCATTCAGTAGCCCATGAAAAAGCTGGCCCTCTCACCCTAGCTTTTTATATGCAAATGCAAGGTGCCATGATGTTCTACACACATGGGGTATGTGGGGGTGGCCACGTTGCCAGGAACATGTGGTGCAAGGGCAAGGAGGCCTCAGGAATCACCATGTTTGAGTGGACCCAGTTT